TTAAAATAGGTGAAAGTAGTTAATTATATCAAAAGGCAAATTCATTTACAAAAATGTGTTTTTTGTGAAATGAAAGTAGATAATATTTTAGAACATATGAAAAAAGAAAATCATTTTAAAATACCTTCTCCAAAAACGTGGGATCAACCAGAGTTAGTACTTTATATAAAAATATAAATCATAATTCATTAAATTAGTTCTTTTTATATTAATAATATAAAATTTCAGGTTTTATTTTCCTATGCATGAGAATGAATCCTTTTTATATAATTTAGACACAAGTAGTACTAGTGATGAAGAAAATGATTTTGAAAATATTACAGAAGCAACGTATGAAACAGTAATAAAAACTAAGTAATAAAAGCTTTCCAAAATATAAAAAAATATTACAGGTTTTATTTACTGTATTAAAGGATGAATTTAGCAATAATATTATAAACATTAATTGAATTATATCTTGAAGTATCCTTTTGTAAAAAAACTAATACTTATTTATATATTTAAATATTGAATATTGAATAAGATATATAAAATTAGAGATTAGATTAGAGAAAATTAGAGATTAAGATATATAAAATTCCATTTACATTATAATATACATTATAATATTAACTGTACATTAAATAAAATAAAAATAAATAAAATATTATAGGAAAAATATAAGTATTATAAGAAAAGCAATTTTTTATTTCATAAACATTTTAAAATATTAGAATAAAATGCTAGAATAATAAAAATTTCTAAAATAGATAATACTAATCATCTAAGAAAATCTGAATAGTCTTAAATACTTGTAAATTAGTTTCAAAATCAAGTTTGGATTGATTCATATACTTTATAAAGATTTAGTTTAGCATTTATCAAACATTTGGGATAATAATAAAATATAATAATATTAGTAAAAATTTCGAGTAAACTTATGTTACTTGTATAATTAGAAATATTAAGTTTACATACATTAACTAGGTAATTAAGTAATGTCCATTTATTCTATTTGTAATCCATAATAATCGTTAAAATATTCTAATTTTTCCGGTAGCACAAACTGAAGATATTCATGAAAACTGAGTTCTAATGCGAAATTAATTTTGTTATAAATTTCAAGTGTAAATATAAATAAAAATGAATTCTTCATTAAATGTGGTTTTCATTTTTTTATATTAATTTTGCATACTTCAGTTAAGAAATACTATAATATATACATAATTTCATTATATAATAACAGGAGAAAACTCAAATTATGATATATTCAATTAAATATATTCATTTTTATATTTTTTATCAATTTAATTTTAATTATTCTAATTTCAAATAATTTATTAAATAGAAATTAAAATTTAATCATATAATAATGCAGTGTAAAAATAAAAAAAGATCAAACAAATATTTTTTAAACTCTTTTAATAATGGTATTAAAATTAAAGTAGTAGGCATTATAAATACTATTGCCTTTCAGAAGGCACGAATATGTGCAGAAAAATTATATCAACACTTATCATTTAAATTTTCTATACCACAAATTATAGAAATGTTTCAAGTAGAATGGCATGAATACATTCATAAATTAAAAAGAGTAATAATAAACTACTATCATTTCAATAATATATTATATTATAATAATTTAATTTATATTTTATATATGTACATATTTCTAGCAAATTGGAGGTAAAATATGGTCATTAACACATACTGTTGCTGTTTTTATAAATGATGAATATCTTGGTAATGAAGTAGAATTTTTTTATTATATAAGTCAAGATTATATCTTTAGTTTACCTTTTGAAATAGAATATTATGAAAATCTTGCTATTGAATGCTGTAAACGATTTATGGAAAAATCTAAAGTAAATTGTTTATTATTAATTAAAAAGAATTTTATTTGTTTATTTTGTTTATTATTGAATTTAATGATATAAATTGTTTACTAATATAATAATATTAAATTTTAGAGGAAATATGTTTATTTCACGTTTTCCATAAATAATTCATCTATTGGTTCATTTTTGTTTATGGTGAGAAATTCTGTATAATTTCTATAATTTGATCTTATAGAAAATTAATCTTATAGAAAATAATTTTACAAAATAAATATATTAAATATATCATTTTAGCTATATTCTGATTTATTACCATTAACTTGTCAACATTTTTTAAATCTTTGTACTGGATATGATGAATTGAAGGAATGTTATAAAGATGCTTATTATATAAATATGCATTTACATCGTATAGTAAAAAATGGATGGATTCAATGTGGAGGTATAATCAAATATAATTTAAATTATTCTTTACTTTGTTTAAATATTTGTCATATATTGTTTTTTATAGGATGTGAACATACTGAAATTAATGAAAATGCAGAAAATATTAAAATACCTGATGAGTCTTATTGTATTCCTCATGATCGCAGAGGAGTTCTTTCATTGGCAAATAATGGAAAACATTGTAATGAATCACAATTTATTGTATGTTTAAAATCAAATCCTTGGATGGATCATTTTTATGTTGCTTTTGGGTAATTACATATATATATTTATATGTATAAATATATTTAAAATTATAAGTTTAAGAATTTAATTTTAAGTATTCTTATATAATTAAAATATAATGTTTATAATATTTAATTGAAATGTAATTGAAATGTAAATATAAAATAATTTATGATTTGTACAAAGACAACTTATAGATGGTATTGGAACTTTAAAGAAATTAGAAAATATATCAACATACTATGAACGTCCTATTGAACAAATAATAATTTCACAATGTGGAGAATATATTTTTGGTAATGAAATTAAAATGGAGACAGAATCAAAGATTTTCCTTGTTAGTATTATTATAAAATTAGTAAATTTATAAATATATTAATATCATTATATTGTAGTCCAATTTAGTTTTTATTTTAGGAACATCAACCAGTATGCATGGAAGGAGAATATGTAATTAATGACAATATGTTTGATTATTATTCTATTACACCATGGTTTGATAATATTGTAGATAAGATAGATGTTCGTGATACTGCATCGCTTTTGATAGCTGAACGATATTTAAATGGCCTTTATTGTCTTGCAACTGATTATGAACCAGGTATTTATAGATAAAAAATTCTATCATATATATATAAATATAAATATTTAATATATGTTATATAACTTTTTATAGGGATGGATATGCATATTTATGAAAAAATTTATTTAACTGATATGGCAAGATATGATACAATAAAAGTCAAACTTCATGATTTATTATTGAATTTTCAACCAGAAGTAATGACAGAACAGGAAAAAATAATATTTGTTTCAGAAATTTCTAAAATTATTTTAGCTTATATTTTTCGTTATGAATATAATGAAGTAAATTAATTTTAATTAAATATTAAAATTTTATTTTATTTTAATCAAAATTTATTATTATATAATAAAATATATTTATAATTTATTTAGTTTTGCCTGCAACATATTTCATTGAATAGTCATGCAACAATACATAAAATACTAAAAATTGCGCATGACATAGCATTAAAGACTATTAAAAAGGCTGAAGCAAAATCTATCATTTCTTTGGAATGTAATAGTTCAAAAATTACGAAGTACGTAATTTAATTTTTTATAATTTATTTTAAGAAATATCAATTTTTAT